GTTCGATTAACCAAAAATCGAATACAACCGGATTGAATTATGGAATTTGGTTCGATTTTGAATTTTAAAATTTTCAATTTATAATCGAACCGAAAAACCTAAATTTATTTCGGTTCGGTTTGGTTTTTGAAAAAAAAATCGATTTAAATCGAAAACCAAAATGAATAGTAAAAAAGACCTACTCTAACTTTAAATCCCTTTTCTCTTCACTAAAACATCAACACTAAAATACACAATCGCCATTTCACCGAGTTCTCCTCTCTCCGAGTCCTCCTCGAGGCTCCACTCTCCAGATCCTTCGGCTTCATTCCCTTTTTCTCTACTCTCCGAGTCCTCCTCCAAGCTCCAGTTATCCTCCTCTAGGCTTCATTCCTTAACCCGAGTAACCCACCTCTCTATCATCTTCCTCCAATCTCACGAAGTCACGGTCATCGGTCACCGACCACCACCCTCCTCCTCCTACTTAAACGGCCTCGATTACTCTTCATCTCTTCCTCTACTAGCAAGCTCTCCAAGGTCATCTCTTTTACCTTTTTTTATTGATAAAAATAATGTATTAAGCAAAGATTATCAAATATCAATAAGGTATTAAGGTAAAATATTTTGGGTAAACAAAATTTGGCATCGGTTGTTCATTGAACATGGGTAAACAAATTTTTTTGAACATCGAATGCATTGGGCAAGAATTTTTCTTTGTTGGTGATAGTACACGGTAGTGATGAACTGATGATGTGAGATTTTCAATTTTTCATTACCAATTTCACCAAATAATGAAGTCCACTTGTGTTGTCATTTGTCAATACCATTTTCTCCTTGCAATCCTTACGATTACTATCATTAACTTTGTGCTCAAGATGTTTCTTCTTTGGCTAAGTTGAAATCCATAGCTCTTTAGGCTTTGTAAATTGTAATAACCTCGATTAGATAATTCCTTTTCATGTCTTTCACTCTCTACAATCTACATTATTGTCAATTTGAAATTCCTTTGTTTTTTGTTCAATCTTCCTTTTGGGAAGCAATTCCATATTTTTCTAATCAATAAAAATATGTTGTGTTATACTTGCTATAAGAGATTGGGAGGTTCAATGGCTATTTCTATTTCAACGGGATACTTGGCACTTGTTCAAGATAGCCTTTGTAAGCCTATCTAATGCTTGCTTGCACCTTATTGAACCTTGCGGTAATGGATGTTTGATGTTACCATTGAATTCAACCTAATTTTCATAAAATGCGAGTCTTGTTTGTAAATCTTATTTGAAGGTTTCAAATTTTGAATTCAATTTAGTGATGCTTTGTAATATGTAAGTGCCTATGTTGTGGTGATATGAACCATATTTTGTACTTAATCATTGATTTAATTTCAGAACATAATAAGGAAAGGAAATTGCGAGTGCATAAGCATGTCTAGAAGTTATTTTTACCCCCATATTAGGACTATGATTTACTAATGCAATGTACAAGTTGATACAAATTATAATTTTTATGACTTTTTATTGCACATCTATCATAGATTTCCTTTTCGGTTTAACAAGGATAAAATGTTTAACTAAAAGTCGAGAAGCACTTTAGACCGAGGTACATCAAATTTTTATGGCAATATGCTTTTGACAACTTCCCCCATTAACAATAGATTAGTAAAGCCAACATGAAGGTTTTGCTTATGCTATTTCCTATCTATTGATAATATAGTGCACCACGATTAATGAACTACCTTATGGCCTAAAGATTGTCACGAATCTTGCTAAAACTTGGCTTCTTAAATTGCGGGGTTAAAATCTTCAATTTGGTCACAAAAATCTTATTAAGTGAATATCTAATTTGATACTTTCCATATTGGAGACGAGTCAAACTTGTGTGCGTTAAGTATGACATTCTTTCTTGTATGCCTTGGCTTTCATATTTATCAAAAAGAATTCTAGATTTTGTACCTACTTCATGCTTGCACATTTCAAGGTACGTTAGGGGTTAGCTATCGATTTTGATCTATGTTTGAGATGCGATGACTCCTTTTCTTTTCAAGTATTTAGAATGAGGTTTACATGTTTTGTGGATGGAATTGTTTAGCATGTTGCATGCCTAGGTCGCACTTCATGCATGCACATTTAAAGATTTTTTTGACTTTGAAATTCTACAAATAATATTTTTTTTACAGCAAAAAAGTTTGGTTAAACTAAATTATTTTGAAACCGAACCAAAATAATTTGGTTTCAAACCGAATTAACTGAATTAATTTTGGTTCGGTTTCGGTTTTTATTTTTCTTAATTCGGTTAACCGAAAACCGAACCGAATTGTACATAACCGAACTCGTTTAACCGAATGTTCACCCTTATTCTTAAGAATATACCAAATAAATATTTTAAAATTCAAATTACGTGAATTAATGATAAAAATTTAAAATTTTTAAATTCTAATAGAATGAGAGAAATTTTTTCACAACTTTTTTAATATAAATAATTATTTATATTTTGGGGTTTTAATTTCATCTCATAAGAATATATCTCTGTTTTAATTTCAAAATTATTATGGCATGACACTTTCCAAAATTTTCGTGCCGTAACTCATATGTTTTTGACATTTTAACATGCCCCTAGTTTTATTCCAAATATATATATATATATATATAGAAAATGAAGTAATGAAAATTGGTGGATGCAATAGATGGTAATGTTATTATTCCCACGAAATGAAAATGAAGTAGCAGAAATTGTGGATGCAATATATGGTAATTGTTGTACCCTAGCTTTTATTCCCACATAAAAGAAAATGAAATAATGAAAATCTATGGATGCAATATATCCGGTAATGGTTTCATTTTTTGTACAAGAAATCCATATGTCCTTTAAATTACATCTTCAAAGAAATAAACATAAATTCACAAAATTTCAATCCTTAATTTTGTAAGCCCCAACTATGAAGTTTCTCTCTCTCTCTCCCTCTCCCCTAAGCACACCTTGAATTCCCTCTCAATCTCCGAAAATTTTATAATACACAAGGAGTAACTAGTGGCATGTACGGTAGTTACTCCTTAGGTCCACTTTGAGGAGAGAGATAGACATATAAAAAAGAAAGAAATTACATCTATACCCACTAAAAGTGATAACAAGATTTCCACGTCCGCTCAAATTTTTTTATTTTCTCTCTCCTATTTTTCTCTCTCTTTTTGTATGTCTATCTCTCTCCTCAAAATGGGCCCAAGGAGTAACTACCGTACATGCCACTAATTACTCCTTGTGTATTATAAAATTTCTCCTCAATCTCATCTATCATTATTACACCATACATCCCATTTAATATTTTTGTATGTGATATTTGATCTACATCACCACCTTCAAGGATTGGGGGAAAAAAAACCATTGTTTATATTTCATAAATATATCTCGGGAAAATTCAATTACCGAAGGAGATCTTTCATCTCGGTTTTATCTATCTTGCTTGATAGATAATTTTGTAAGCCTTCACTCCTACTTTTTATTTTGTTTCCTTACGATCCTACAAGTTTTCATATTATTTTGATTTTTACTTTTGGTGAGAGAGAGTATTTTGTATTGTATTTTTGCTTGATATATTGATTAATTTGCATATTTTTCTTTCAAGTTTCGAAGTAAAAAGAATAAAGAGAGATTAGCAACAATGGGTACAATGAATGGAAACCTATTACCCGAAGACGTGATTATTGAGATTCTCTCATGGCTACCTGTAAAATTTTTACTACAACTCGAGTGTGTATGCAAATCATGGAATGAAATTATTATTAGTTCCGATTTCATTTCCAAGCACTCGAACAACTACGACAACAACAACAATAATGGTTGTCTCCTTGCTTGTTGTCGGCATACATTCGACACAATTGAATGGTGTGGGTTGTTCCTCGATGAAAACTTGAAGATTTAACACATCAAACACTTGACTTATGAATCCCACAATCAACAATTGATGGTCCTTGTAACGGACTATATTATGTAGAATCAAGTTTTTTTCTTCGTGATTGTGGTCTTTGGAACCCCGCAACCAAAGAATTTAGGCTTCTACCAACGAACAAACAAAGTCCAATCTTCCACCCGAAATAGAGTATAGCATTCATGTTTCTATTTTTGGATTAGATCCAATAATGAGATGATTATAAAGTGGTTGTTATTATTTATCTTGAAGATAGAGAAAGTCATGAACCTTACCTTCCTTCACAGGTCATTATATACATGTTAGGGACCGATTCTTGGAGATACTGGGGAGATTTGACATCGGATTATTTTTTGAGTGGTAGTAGATGTTATATGTATATGAATGGAATTTATTATTGGTCACCATTATATATAGTAAAAGGTAATAAGTCAAAAGATGTGTGGAAATTACGTTCCTCCGAAACACGTAAAGTGATTGTTTCCTTTGACATGGCTACGAAGAGTTTCAAGAGATACCAATACCGGAAGAGATGCAAGATCCAGATTATGATGACCCAAACTTTCAATCAACCTTTCGGATACTTGCATTATACCATGACTCGATACCATTTTTTTGTCGTTGATTAGGTGGAAAAATTTCTTAACCTTTGGGTGATAAATGATGGGGTATGGGCTAAAAAATTCAGTTCTCGTATCTTTTATGGGAATTCAAAATACGGTAAGGTATTGGAAAAATGATGAGCTCTTTGTAGAATCCGATACTAAGCAACTAACGTTAGTTGACCCATCAACTGAAGAAATCAAGAATATTATTCCATTAGGAGGACGATTGTCGGATGTTTTTATTCACAAGGATAACTTAGTTTCAATAATGGATAGAAGAAGCAAGTATAGGCAAAATGAAAAGCATTTGACTTAATGTGAGTAAGTTTACGATTGTGTTTATTCATCATATTAGGTGTTGCTACTAACTAGATTTGTCATTCAATTTTCATACTTGTTACCCTATATGAAATGAAGCCAAAAACTTCGTTATTTTGAAATTTCAACTTTCATTCTATTCTTATGTTATTTGAAGTTTACAAAGAAATGAGTTATTTTTACTTGTGGTAAAGTATTGCTAACTCGTTAAGACAAGTCTTTGTTATTGTTGCATCATCTTCACCTAAGTCTTCTCCATCCACTAGGACTCTCACTGTTGCATCATCTTCACCAAAGTCTTCTTCCTCTACTAGGATTGTTGTTACTCGTGTCTTCTTCTTTTCTTAGTATTGCTATTGTCAAGCCTTCATCATCTTCTAAGTCTTCTACACATAACCAACAACAAGATGGATATAACAATTAGATAGAAGTCTTAACTCTTGTCTTTGTTCACTTGATATAGTTTTGTATTCTTATCTCATATAAAGGACTCTATAAAAGATGGAGTATCATGAATCGATAAACACACGAGAAATATTCTACAATTCAAATACTCTTATCTTTCAATTTGGTATTCGAGTCGGTAAAGGCATTACTCGTCATTCTCTTTCTCATTCATACGTCATACACCATTCCTATAATTTTTTTCTTTCTTTTCTTTTCAAAGTACTAGATGGCCTCTTCTAGCAATACCTCTCTTCCACTACTGTTACTACAAAACCAAACCCAACCCCTCCACATCATTGAGTCCACTCAACAACTCTCATCTATTTCTCTCTCTAAAATTAACCCATGCTAATTTTCTCATTGTGGCTTATCTAGGTGAAGCCATTCCTCCTAGGCCTAGGCCTTTATGGTTTTATTGATGGATCACATCCATGTCCTTTTAGCCACTTTGCTATTGTAGAATCAAGTCTTCCATAGGTGAATCCTTCTCACCTAGCTTGGATCTAATATGATCGGCTTTTCATGAGTACCATGATCTTTGATCTCTCTCTCTCTCTCTCTCATATGTGTATGTCCGTGTGTGTCTATATATATACACATGATCATTGATTATAACACTTCCTATTATACATATATATATATATATATATAGTTGGATCTAATAAGATCAGCTTTTTATGAGTACCATCATCTTCTCTCTCTCTCTCTCTCTCATGTGTGTGTGTGTGTGTGTAAATACATGATCATTGATTATAGGAAGTATGGTATGTGCTTGAGAGCACTCTAGCTTTTCCTTTTAGCACCCCAATTATGTCCTTACATCTTGCCTTGTAAAAACTCTATCGGGATTTGAATGAATCGGTCTCCTAATTTCTACACCATGTAAAATCTTATAGTGATGAACTCTCTATAGCTATTTGACCCTTCTCTTCCATTGACTTCAACCTCCGTGTTCAAAGGAATTTCCGGAGACTTTAAACATATCATCACCACCCTTGTCATGCGAGCTAACCTAGTAACATTCATTGATCTTCAAAGCTTTCTTATTAGCCATGAATTCTTAAATTATGAGTTTTTTTTTTAATCATTCTTCCATGATAAGTTTAGCTTTATTACTCCATCTACTATTAACCTCATTCACAAAGCCAATGATGCCTATTCTGATCTATATGATGGCTACAATCGTGGCAAAGATAGGTTGTTTTGAGGTCGAGGGCATGGAAGATTCAATCTCAAGTATGACAATAATACCAATCCTAAAATTAAAGAGAGTTGGCATCGGCATGATTTGCGAACCAAGTGTCGGATATGTTCTTCATGGAACCACATGGCTATACACTATACCTAACAGTAGTTTACTACTATCCGACCCACCATAAATGTCTCAATAGTATCTTCCTCTACCTCATTCACACCTATTTAATGTCTTGACACTAGTGCTTCCCACCATGTGACATCGATTTACCGAGCTTCGGTACCTATGAACCATATCGGGAAGATATCAATCACTAAAAAGCACTCTTTCCTAAGAAAGATATCATGTTTAGTTTAATCATAAAATTTATCTCATAAAATTTCTATTTTTGCTAAAATTGATCTTAATTCAAAATTCCAAGTTTTATTTCCAAGGTCAATTTTTTTTTGTTTTTGTTTGTAGTATCATATTGAATCAATCTTCAAACTCTTTTCTCGGGCATCTTGTTAATTTAACATCGGATCTAATTTAATTCTTAACATAACCGATGTGTCGGAGAATGACTCGTTTACTAAGATGTGATTTATTCGAGTTAAAATCAGCTTTTATTTGATAAGAGACTTTGTTAATTTTCCCTTAGTATTTTCTATATTTTTGCTTTTATATATATATATATATATATATTTTACCTATTTCCCCTCTTTTTTTCATCATTCGTTTTTCTCATTCTTCACTTTTTTTATCATTTTATCATTTATTATATATATATATATATATATATATTATTAGTGGGGAATTTTTATTACTCATTCAAAATTAAGAGACTTGATGATTCATTCACATATTAATTATTAAAATAAATAGAAAAAGGCTAAAAATGAGGTATTGAGCTTTTTGAGGTCGGTAGGCCCTCAACCAAAGCCAAACCTACTAGGCCGAGCCTCGCCGAGCAAGCCGACCTCTTAATTCTCTTTTTTTTTTTAGGCTTGGGCTAGGCTGAATTTTAGCCATATAGGTTGGGCTTAGCTAAACCCAACCTTTATTTGTTTATTTATTTTTCTTACCTCCTCTAAAGCCTCGTTCCGCCAACACATTTTTCATTTTTCCCTAAATCAAACTCGATATAAACCTTCTAACTCTCATTTCTCTCTCATCTTCCTTCTCTAGTGCCTTTGCCATTTTTATCTCCTTCAATCCAATCTTTCCATCCTCTCCATCATTCTCTTCATGCTTTCCTTAAACTAGATCGATTGACCTTCCACCTTTCCTTTCAAACCCAAAACTCCCTCATTATCCTTCTATTGAAATCAAATTCCTAAGCCCCTATTCAATTTTTTCTCTCTCTCAAACTCTCACTTGCCCGGGTTTCGTTAGTTTTTTCTAGATCGAACAATCTCAACAACGTTAACCCCTATCTCATGGATCCCTTCTCGATCTATCATCTTCTCATTTGAAATTCTAGAAAGCCTAACTCAAAATCGTTTTCCTTTTTTCTCAATCGATCTCCTACAAAGATCAAACACATAACCCATGTTCTCTCCTAGATATTCCCTTAGACGACCTAAGATCTTGATTAATCTTCGATTTTGTTTATCGGTATATCTCGAACTCCATATCCAATTATGGCTTCTATCCAGTCTTCATCCTTTATTAAAAGTTAAAATTAAACCTCAATTATTTATAATTGAACCTCCTTATAACCATAAACCCTCTTTTTTCTCTTTTTTGAATTTCGATACTCGAGTAACCCTATTTTTTAGAATCCAACCTTAAATTTGAAAGATAACCTAGAATCAAGTGGGTAAGCCTAGAATCTAGCCTTCATGAATCATCTAAATCCTTCTAACTCATCAAACCTTCTGTGATGGTGTGTGAAATTTTGAGGGGTAGGGATTTCTTTAGGGTGACAATGATGGTCATCACTTCCATCGCTCATCCGAGAGCATCTAGAAGTTATATTAATGTAAACATAAGTTATAAGTTAAAAGAAAAAATGTTATTTGGATATCCGATTAAGGGAGCCTAGATAGAGATAAGTAGTGGCTATAGATGTTAGCTACTTTAGATAGTGAAGTAGCATCTCTAGTGTTAGCTCTAGTGGCTCCTCGTTCCAACCCTTCGGTAAGAATCTAAAACCACTAAGCTTCTCGCAATTCAAAATTTTCCCTTATTAAAAAAAAAAATTGTTTTCTCAATTCTCTAACTCGTTTCCCTTCAATCTTGCTTTGCATAACTCTTTATTCTCTTTCTCCCTTACTCTTTCTCTAAACCTTAATTCTCTTATCTTTTTAAGCTCTCAATTCCTTTTTCTCCTTCTCTTTTTACTTTCCTCATTTCTCTACCTTCTTTAAAACCTCAATTCTCATCCATTCTCTCTTTCTCTCATTTTTTTACCTAAAACCCTAAATTTGACCCCTATTTATTCCCAAAGATCCCTTGATCACTCCTAGGATCAATTCATATAATTCCAAAACTTCTCCCACAAAGAACAAACTCTCTAGTTTTGACGTCAATTTTGCTTCTATTATGAACATAGCCAAAACAATTGTGTTTTATGTCTATGCATTAGGTTTTGCTTGTTTTGGTGTTTTTGTTATGCATGTTGGTGTAGGTGTTAGAGCCATAATTATAGGAGCTACAAGGGCGGGGTGATTTTGTTCCTTTGGGTCGTAATGGAGATGAACAGTTGTAAAATCCTCGAACCCATTAGTGAAGGAATTAAAATAGATTAAATGTGTGAGAAAACTATTTGATGGATATAGAATAATTTTAAAAAGGTTGTTAGAATATTCAGTACGCTTAGGATAATTTTTTGATGCTAAGTGAATATTTATCTAATTTTCTATGCATGAATAGTAAATTTTTTATGTAAAATAATTGTTTTAAGCATTTTAAATGTGCATGAAAATTGTTTTATTTACATAGAATATTTGTTAGAGGGGTGTTAGATTATATGGTGCCATTGGATGAATTTTTTGTTGTTTAGTAATTATTTTATTTGAACTTTACATTGCATGAATAGTATTTTAAGGCAAATTAATTATTTTAAGTATTTTAAAAGACCATGAAAATTATCCAAGGGACATAGAAAAATCATTTAGAAGGTGAAAGAATATTTCATAAACTTAGGAGAATTTTTCTATACATAGGGAATATTTTCAATAGAAATAAGTGTATTTTTACATAAAAAAAATTAATTAGAGGTCTTAAATAAGTGTGTAAAAAATTATGTGAATGATGAATAAATTCTTATAGGAGGTGTTTGAATTTATTATGGAAAGAAATTAAATTTTGAAAAGGTGTGGAACAAATTTTATAGAATAGGGACCTAATTACATAAAATTAAAAGTTTGAACTGTCATATTAAATTATAAATGAACTTTAAGAAGTGAAAAGTTATTAGGAAAACCTTAAAGGAAAGGCCTAAAGGAATCAATTGAATAATTAAAAGACTTATGGAAGAATAATTATGTGACAATCTATTAAATTGAGGGACTAAATTGGAGTAACTTTTGGGAGAGATTTTTTCTCCTCTTTGTTGACTTTGAGCTCCATGATTAGGGTGCATTAATTAATTTTTGACTTATGGATTAAGGGCTGGTTAAGATTAAGCTAAATGGAGTGTTAAAATTAAAAGAAAAAAAATTAAAGGCTAAGTCTGAAACCAATTGAAGGGATAGGATTAAAAGCACAATT